TATAGGACCTTTTAAAAAAAATTATTCTGAAACATTTTCATAATAGATGCATTTATTTTCCTTATAAGAGATGCACAAAAAAAAAACAAGACAAGTTAAATTTAAAGGTACTTGCAATACTTAAAAAAGAACTAGTAGAAAAAATAAGTTTTATTTTGTTCTAAACAAAGTCCTAAACAAGTAGAATGTAAAATACATAACTTATACTACTTCTAAGAAAAATAACTACTTCTTTCTAATTTTCTACTAAACAAAAAGCATAAATGACTCTTTAAATAGTCTTTATTCAGAAAAAATGTATTTACAAATAACTATAATAACATAACACCATCCACAAAATCCAAGAAGAATTTAACAACTAAAAAAACAACTCTTTCATTCCCAAACTCTCTTTTCTTATAAAATCTAGATTCTGATACAAAAACTAAAGTTGAGATCGTCTCCGCTGGCCAAAAAATCACCAAAAGAATCCAAACTTTGGTTTTTAAAACAATAATACACATCTAAAAGAGTTGTCGGGATATGGTTTGTGGAGAATATGTCCATGATAAGAGAAGGAAAATAAAACATCCAAAACTTCTGAGAAACACAATAAGGAATAAAATTCATATTTTCAACCATACTCCACACTTGGACTTAGGATCATAAATCAAAGGATCATAAATTTCGTATGACGTTAAAACTCAACTTTTTTCTCCCTTTATACATTTTTATGGATTAACATTGATAGGATCGATTCGACCCTACATACCCATCCTCTCTGAGACATCAGCTAAAGAACTTAAGTTACACCTGACCAACGCCTCTATAAAGTACACACTTCATCTCTCGTGTTCCCTTCACGTCCATGACAAATTATTCAATCACCATTGCACCTAGTCTTTCATCAATAACCTTCTGACAAATGATCATTTATCATGTTCAAATTATAAACACACATTTATTTGATATGTAAGCTGGATTGATCCACATATATAATTCGTTGGTAAAATATTATTAATCCTAAAAAGTTGGGTGGTTAGGGATTCTATGACCCAATGCAAAATACTTATTTATTAAAAGAAAATTTGAATTTTAAATACAATTAAGTCTTTATTATGTAAAAAGTCAACCAAAATTAAACACTGAGATTTAACCTAATGCACACTGACCCAGCCACTTAAACTTCTCTCTGTTTAACACTTATCTGAGTTCAAAAGATAACCTTATAAAAAAAACCTCAAATCCCTAGACCCCAAAGCTTAGCCCAATTTCTATTATCAAATTTTTATTGTTACTTATTCGTTCATTCCAATGACATTTTTGCAATTTTTCTAAGTACCAAATCTTCATGGACAGTCTATCCCCTTTTCACCATCTTAATCCCTATTCTCATCAAAACCCTAAAAAAATTCACAGGCTACCTAAAACCCTTTCACCCTTTTCAATTTCCCTTCCAATTCCAGGTACCCATTTTTCCCCTTCTCCTATTCAATTTTCACCACACAAAAATTCTCCTTTTTTTCACCCTTTTGATGAATTCAATGAGTTAAGAACTTTTAGCTCTGTCAAAGAAATGCATGCCCAGATGGTTAAAAACCCTAAAAATGTTAACTTTATTACAATGGATGGAACCATGACGAGAAACTATTTGGAGTTTGGTGATTTTGTATCAGCAATAAAAGTGTTCTTTGTGGGTTTTGCAAGGAATTATCTTCTCTGGAATTCTTTTATGGAAGAATTTGAAAGTTTTGGAGGTGACCCGTTTGAGATTCTGGTGGTTTTCAATGAATTGCGTAGTAAAGGTGTGGAATTTGATAGTAAAGCTTTCACCTTTGTTCTGAAAATTTGCTTGGCTTTAAGGGAATTATGTGTTGGTTTGGAAATTCATGCTTGTTTGATCAAGAGAGGGTTTTATGATAATATACACTTAAATTGTGCATTGATCAATTTCTATGAGAAATGTTGGAGTATAGATAAGGCAAATCAAGTATTTCATGAGACTCCATATCAAGAAGATTTTTTGTGGAATACAATAGTTATGGCGAATTTGAGGAGCGAGAAATGGAAGAATGCCTTTGAATTGTTTGGTAACATGCAGAGAGTTTCTGCAAAAGCCACTCCTGGCATCATTGTCAAGATGTTGCAAGCATGTGGAAAATTAAGAGCTCTCAATGAAGGAAAACAGCTTCATGGGTATTCTTTTAGATTGGGACTAGTTTCAGATACCATAGTTTGCAATACATTGATGGATATGTATGTTCTTCATGGGTCATTTGAAATGGTTCTCACTAGTTTTCGGAGCTTGTGTAATGCAGGGTGTGAGCCAGATTCATTCTTGGTAACTAGTGCTCTAAAAGCAATTATTGAATTAGGTTTCTTTAAATTAGGGAAGGAAATCCATGGTTACATAGTGAGAAGTAATCTTAACTGTCATGCCTATGTTTATACTACATTGATGGATATGTATGTTAAGAATGATTGCTTAGAAAAGGCTCATGCAGTGTTCCGGCACGCAAAGAACAAAAATCTCTCCGCCTGGAATTCTCTGATTTCTGGTTACTCCTCCAAGGGGCTGTTTGGTGACACCAAAAAACTATTGAATCAGATGGAAGAGGAAGGGGTAAAACCTGATTTGGTGACATGGCGTTGTTTGGTTTCAGGTTATTCAATGCGAGGCCGGATTGAGGAAGCTTTGGCTGTGATGAATCGGATCAAAAGTTCAGGAATTAAACCTGACATTGTAACTTGGAATTCGGTTTTGTTGGGCTATGTTCTTCAGGGGTCATTTGAAATGGTTCTCACTAGTTTTCGGAGCTTGTGTAATGCAGGGTGTGAGCCAGATTCAATCTCGGTAAATAGTGCTCTAAAAGCAATTATTGAATTAGGTTTCTTTAAATTAGGGAAAGAAATCCATGGTTACATAATAAGAAGTAATCTTAACTGTGATGTCCATGTTTGTACTAGATTGGTGAATATGTATGTTAAGAATGATTGCTTAGAAAAGGCCCATGCAGTGTTCCGGCACGCAAAGAACAAAGATGTCATTGCCTGGAACTCTTTGATATCAGGTTACTCCCTCAAGGGACTGTTTGGTGACACCAAAAAACTATTGAATCAGATGGAGGAGGAAGGGTTAAAACCTGATTTGGTGACATGGAATTGTTTGGTTTCAGGTTATTCAATGCGAGGCCGGATTGAGGAAGCTTTGGCTGTGATGAATCGGATGAAAAGTTCAGGAATTAAACCTGACATTATAACTTGGAATTCGGTTTTGTCGGGCTATGTTCTTCAGGGGTCATTTGAAATGGTTCTCACTAGTTTTCGGAGCTTGTGTAATGCAGGGTGTGAGCCAGATTCAATCTCGGTAAATAGTGCTCTAAAAGCAATTATTGAATTAGGTTTCTTTAAATTAGGGAAAGAAATCCATGGTTACATAATGAAAAGTAATCTTAATTGTGATGTCTATGCTTGTACTACATTGGTGAATATGTATGTTAAGAATGATTGTTTAGAAAAGGCTCATGCAGTGTTCCGGCTCGCAAAGAACAAAAATGTCTCCACCTGGAATTCTCTGATTTCAGGTTACTCCTTCAAGGGGCTGTTTGGTGACACCAAAAAACTATTGAATCAGATGGAGGAGGAAGGGGTAAAACCTAATTTGGTGACATGGAGTTGTTTGGTTTCAGGTTATTCAACGCGAGGCCGGATCGAGGAAGCTTTGGCTGTGATGAATCGGATGAAAAGTTCAGGAATTAAACCTAACATTATAACTTGGAATTCGGTTTTGTCGGGCTATGTAATTCAGGGGTCATTTGAAATGGTTCTCACTAGTTTTCGGAGCATGTGTAATGCAGGGTGTGAGCCAGATTCAATCTTGGTAAATACTGCTCTAAAAGCAATTATTAAATTAGGTTTCTTTAAATTAGGGAAAGAAATCCATGGTTACATAATGAGAAGTAATCTTAACTGTGATGTCCATGTCTGTACTAGATTGGTGAATATGTATGTTAAGAATGATTGCTTAGAAAAGGCTCATGCAGTGTTCCGGCACGCAAAGAACAAAAATCTCTCCGCCTGGAATTCTCTGATTTCTGGTTACTCCTTCAAGGGACTGTTTGGTGACACCAAAAAACTATTGAATCAGATGGAGGAGGAAGGGTTAAAACCTGATTTGGTGACATGGAATTGTTTGGTTTCAGGTTATTCAATGCGAGGCCGGATCGAGGAAGCTTTGGCTGTGATAAATCGGATCAAAAGTTCAGGAATTACTCCTAATGTGGTGTCTTGGACTGCTTTGATATCAGGATGTTCTGAAAACGGGAAATACACAGATGCCCTACAGGTTTTCAGCCAAATGCAAGCTGAAAATGTAAAACCCGACTCGACAACTATTTGCAGCTTACTTCGTGCATGTGCAGGCCCATCTCTGTTGAAGAAAGGTGAAGAGATTCACTGCTTTAGTATGAAACTTGGGATCGTAGATGATATATACCTTGCGACAGCACTCATTGATATGTATAGTAAAGCAGGAAAGTTAAAAGTAGCACATAATGTTTTCAGCAAAACTCAGGAGAAAACGCTTGCATGTTGGAATTGCATGATGATGGGATATGCTATACATGGCCATGGTGAAGAGGTAATGATTCTCTATGACAAGATGCGCGAAAAACGCATTAGACCTGACGCTATAACGTTCACAGCTCTTCTATCTGGCTGCAAGAATTCAGGTTTAGTCGATGAAGGATGGAGATACTTTGACAGTATGCATGGAGATTATAATATTATTCCAATGATTGAGCACTACTGTTGCATGGTAGACCTTCTTGGAAAAGCTGGGTTTCTAGATGAAGCTTTGGATTTAATCAAAACTATGCCGATAAAGCCAGATGCGAGTATTTGGGGTGCTCTTCTTGCATCGTGCAGAATTCACAAAAACATTAAGCTAGCAGAGATTGCCGCAGAGAAGCTTTGACAATGAGAAAGAGAAGATTCTTCTGAGTCACACTGAGAAGTTGGCAATGGTATTTGGAGTGATGAAAATGAAAGGTGGATCACCAATTAGGGTTGTTAAGAACACAAGAATTTGTTGCGACTGTCATACAGTTGCAAAGTACATTTCTTTGGCTCGAAATTGCGAGGTTTTACTTAGAGATGCTGGCCGTTTTCACCATTTTAAAGATGGAAAATGTTCTTGTAATGATTGTTGGTAAAGAGAGACCAGAGGAAAATATGGAATATAACTATGTTACTTGGAAAATGAAGTCTATTTTCAAGGTTTGATACAATGCTCCTTAAATTTCAATTCTTACCTTAAATAGTTTACTTCTTCAGTGAGCCACATAATGAAAAGGTTGGAACAGAAACATAACTTGGGAGTCAGCATCATCACCATCAGGATACCATGCAAATTAAGTTACAAACATATCCCAAACCATTTGTGACTCAGATGGTGATTTTCGCAACAAGTACTATATAGAGGATATTGAATTCTTAGTATGTTCTGCATTTGTATTTGTGGTTTCATGGTTTCAACAGTGTATGTTTGGGTTCACGGTTTAAATGATTCTGAATATGTAAAAGATTTTGCAGCCCTTAAATAGAATTGATTTTATTTGAAATTATGATTTGTAACTTTTAAATTTTTACTGATTTTTATATTAAAATTTACTATTTAAATTATTTTTGCAAGAATTTATACAAAATTGAATTATTTTTGCAAGAATTTATACAAAATTGAATTATTTTACCTTTAATTTATTTTTAATTAGAACTAATTTTGCAAAATTGAAATTTACTGTTTGAATTATTTTGTGCAAGAATTTATAAAAAAATATTTTATTTTTAATTAAAATCAATTTTATAAAATCAATTTTTTTCACTGCAGCATCAAATACTTGTGAAACCATGAGAGAACTGTTTTTGATTTTCTTTTAAATTTTTTATTTTTTTTAGATATATAGAAATAACATATAAGAAAGCCCAATATAAATATCTCTGAGGTGATGATGGATTTGTTTTTAAATAGAGAATTTATTATCCCACTCATGAGTTTTTTTTTTTCTATTATGTGGATTTTCACAAATGCTTATAGATTCTGGAGATATATCTTTGGACGCGTCCCATGACTTAATAATATTTCGCAGATATATCTTCGAAACAATTTAAACCTTAAACGGTCACAACATATCTTCCATAGCTCATTTTCATTTCAATTTGTCCGGAGATACATTTACGGAAACTCTCCAGAGATACATCTCCGAAGTGTTTCAGAATAGGTTTTTTTAAAAACGTATTATCTATTTGTTCGCAGATGAATTGTAAAATAACAGACACGCCAAAATAACATAACCATATAGTAATAGGATGTCATACGTCACACAAATTCAAAATGTAATAACAATGTCAAAAAAAACATACAAACTACAGTATTGAAACAAAATAAATACAGACAACTATTTGGTGTGCCTGATAACCTCTCCTTTGCCTCCTCTGTCTGGTTTGCGTTCTCGATCATTGATCCCCCCTCTCCTTGCGGGATGTTTGCAGTATAAAAATGTCCCATGTGCCTCCGCAATAATGTCATTCAATACTCGTCTGACAGCAGACCCCTCAAAGAAGATACCCTCGTCAATGCCTGACCGCGCCATCTCCACTATGCGATGACAACGAGGCAAGACATCCTCAGATTCATCTGAGACTGCTACTCCTCAAGAATCTCTTGATGAGCGGGTCTCGGCAGATATCCTGGAGCAACCGACACCATATGCGGATGTGAGACCCTAAAGAATCACCTGATGTATCTGTTGACGTAGCTCCAATCATTCGGCGTTGTGGTAACCCGAGCCTCATCCAATACCAGATGACTCTGATAATTAATAAATATCTCCTCTACATGTATACGAGTCAAGGCCATAGATGCAGAGATAACAGGGTGTCTGGGGTGGTCTGGGTGTACCCGAACTACCGCATGACGCGCTCGGGCAAATGAGGAGCAGTGATCGTCGACAGCAGGCCAGCCATCGGAGTATAGTGATATGTCGTCAAATGGTCGCGTTTGGCGGTAATCCACGTAGAAGTTGAAGTGGATGTCCTCAGCAACCAAACACTCAAGATAGACCCTAAAAGGCTCGATCGTCCGGTTCCCTCTCAACGGGATAAAAGCATAGGCACGGGGCATCTCCTCAATGTACTCATCCCAACACAACCGACCAGCAATGCGCGGGAAGTGTTGGAGGATCCAAGCCTGAAATGAAAATAAAAAGCATTTAGGGATCAAGAATTATCACAAATATGAAATGAAAAAGATAAAAAACAATCAAGGATAAAAAATTATTACCACCAGTAGGGTCGTACTGCCTATGGTCTTCCTTGTCGTCCACCGACATCCATCTCTCAGCTTCAAATACAGATAAGTCAAGCAAGCCACCCCCCATTATACTCATGGATCCATGTGAGATCCAAGAAGTACCGGAGGTATGCAACGTCAGTGTAGGTGGCACTCGTGTCCACAAAAAGCACAGTGCCAACTAAAAATAAAAAGTAATACCTCAAAGCATGACTTCTGTAGATCTCCACCTCCTGGGCATCACCATCATTCTGCGCTGCAGCAACGAGCGCCTCATCAAATCTTTTCCAAGAAGGAAAACCTAACATGAGTACCCCTAGTCTTACCCATCTCCCTCAGCGCCTTCACACGATTAGCTCCTAGATGCTCCACCATCATATCGATTATCTCATATTTGGTCATCCTACCATGATGGAGAAATCTCCCTCTGATCGGTAGATGCAACAAACACGAGACATCGTCCACTGTAATCGACATCTTACCGTGCGAGAGATGAAAGGAAGAGGTCTCAGAGTGCCATTGCTCCATGAATGCTCCAATCATCCCGTGATTGACCAAAGTGTAACTAGTCAAGCATAGGTTACTCAACCCATAAGCGCTAAGAATCGACTGAAACCACTCTGTATCAGGCTGATGCAGTGCTAAAATCTTTCGCCCGTCGTTCAGAGACTTCTGGGGATCACGCACCTGCGAATTTCCAGAAATAATCAATGTCAACAAGAATCAATGTTAGAAATAACCAATGTCAGCAATTTAAATTAATGTAAGCAAATATAGTAACACTGTGACTAATATTACCTCTCCGTCCCAGATATGCCTGGCAGTATGGTCTGAGTACTAGGAAAGTAGATACATATCAGATGTACCCCCTCCAAAAGCCTCTGGCTTGGCATCAGCAACACCACCCTCCGGAGGTGGCACCGATGCATGTCGATCAGCAGGTGCAATCGGGTCAACAGGAGGTGGCACATGTGCATCCTGCCGCCTGCGGGAGGATGGAGGAACAAATGCGTCAGCTAATGCATCTTGTGGTCTGTAGTAAGAAGATGAAAAAGGTGGAGTGGGATGAGACGTAGATGAAGTGGCCTAAGATGTAGCTGGAGTGACTTGAGATGTAGATGAAGTGGCATGAGGTGAAGGTTGAACCACAGGAATGGACTGAACCTCAGGAGTATACTGTACACTAGCAGTCGATGCCTTTTCCTGACCAGAGGTACCTACTACATTCGAACCCGGCTGGCTCTGCTCTCGTCTAACAGATTCATGTTGGGCAACCCGTTCATGCCTCAATCGGTCGACTATGTCAGCCATTATGCCTGCAATATATAATATAATTAATCGTACAATGAGTTTATGAAATAAGAAAAATTATAAAATAAAAAGATAAAAAAGCAGACTGAGAAATTCCGGAGATACATATCCGAAAATATTCAACGTCTCATGTACTCTGGATAATTCCAGAGATACAACTACTGAAACATTTCACATATGTATCTTTGGAATTACCCAGAGTACATGAAACGTTGAATGTTTCCAAAGATGTATCACTGGAATATTCTGCAACTCAGAAGTCGCACTAATGACATTCTCTGCCTCTCAGAATAACAAATTTGAAGCCCTGGTCATCTATTCGAGACAACAAACAATACATACAGTCACTCTAAACTATGTTTCATCTGATTTCTAAACATTTCGACACCCAACAATATATTATAACTCGTTTACAACAAAACTTGAATATTTATCAAAAACTCGAAAAGCTTACCCGAATTATATGATTCGGAAGATGTTAAATGATGCACTGAATGTAACTTGGTGATTAATTGATCCTCTAACGGAAGAAATCAAATTTGGTGAAGTTTGGGAAATTTGGGAATGAGAGAGATGAAGAGGTATGTGAATAGAAATGAAAAAGTGTGGGAGGAGAAGAGTCTGGCGCGATAATATGATCCAAATTGTTCGAGAGATATATCTTTGGAATATTTCAACGTTCAATTGATCTTTGGTGTGTCTGGAGATATATCTCCGAAATATCTTAACGTTTAATTAAAATATGGTGTGTCCGGAGATATATCTCCATAAACTAGGGATATTATTGGAAATTTGCATGGTGTCTAAGAAACACATAAGGTGCTTTAAGAAATCCTCGTTTAAATATACAAAATAACATATTAGCTTCTAAGAAAGCCCAATATAAATAGCGCTGAGGCAAATGATAAAAATGCATACGCGAAATAAATGAGCCCTCACTATTAACAAGGATAAGTGATTCTGAGAACTTTGCACTATCCTACCACTTCTTTTCATGAAAAATACCAATATATCATGCAATACATTTCAAGATATTTACCAATATACCATTGTTTCAAATAATTTTTCGTTTTTGTCACAAAGCAACCGCCCATTGCTTTGGCGGAAGCTTGAAAAAATAAAAACTGTCGTCCATTACTTTAGCAGAAGAGTGTAAAAGGTTATAGGGCTCGTCCATTACATTAGAGGGTCCTTTGAAACGTATTTTATTTTATCTTTTAAATAAGTATGAATTTTATTTTAATTATTATAAATATAGTAAAAAGATATTAATTAATTTTAATTTATTAAAATTTTTTATAATTAATAATTTGTTTAGATAATAAAATATAAACATACTTTTTATACTTAAAATAATTATAGTTATTTTTAATTAATAAATAAAATAACAATAATAATATAAACAAAATATTATCAAAAGCAATATTTATTTATTTATGTTATAAAAAAAGTACATTAAATCCCATTTAGTCTTGATTTTGACCTTGTCGATGAAAGTGTTAGTGGGTTTCATACGTAGGAGCTTGTCCAATTCGGGTAGATCTTCTACGATTTTCATCAACATTTGTTGAGTGAATAGAAGGTCTCGCGTAATTCCTAGGATCCATTAATTCAGTGACCATTTCATCATTTAAAGGCCATCGCCTCCGTACTGCCATAATTTTAATTTGGTTCCCTCGTTATTCTAGTTTGGCTGGGTAGTGGGTGGCATTGAGCTATGCATGTAGAGGATGTAGGGTTGTTGGTCTTGGGAAGGATTTTGGGTGAAGGTTTGTGAATGGTAGAAAAAGACTTTTGGTTGGGGTGTTTGGTATTTTTTTTCTTGTAGGGTAGGTCGTGAGAATGAGTATTGATTATAGTGGGTGCTGGATGGTGTTTGTGGTTGGATGTATGATATAGAGGAGGTAAATTTTGGGTTTTGTTGTTGGGTGTTGTAAGGGGCTGGGTTAAATGAAGGGTGTGGTTAATGGTAGTGTTGGCTTAGGGTATAAGGTTGTTGTGTTGGGTTGAAAGGTTGTTGGGTGTTACATGTTGGTTGTTGGATGTAAGTGTTGGTTGATGGTCACAGATCTATACCAATCCATGTATTTCCTACTAGGTTTACATTCGTTTGGCATGATATCTCCTTATAAGACAATGTTGCGACAATTTTGCCATTGTTGATGCGCATGTCTATGATGGTCTTTCCAATTTTGAAATTTCTATTGGTATGACGTTTGACTTGTGTGGTACTCCTCTGTGCACCCAAGTGGACCCGAAATTTCTTGTTGAATCCCAAATTGGAGTTTCATCCTATCTAAATGATGCATTTCAATAGTAGTGAAACAAATTAAAAGCGTTGAACTCCACATGTCACTTTCAATTGAATCCTCATCTTCAAGTCCAAGATATGGTCTCCATAGAAACAGTTAGGTAGTAGTAAAAAAGATTAGTTAAAAAAATTATAAATAAACTTTAAATATTAGTAGTATAAGTCTTGAAGATAATACATCATTCGCCTCGAAATGATCGAAGAACGCCTAATATTCAGGTGCACAATAATAAAGGTTTTTTTGTTATTCATCCCATATGCGGACTACCTATAAAAAAAATAATTATTAGAAAGTACCTAGAAAAAACATATGTAAAAGATAATTTGTTTTATACGTACTTGGTCACATATGGAAAAATTGGAACTTATTGAGATTTGTTGGTGACAGTCTTGTCATTCTGGACCAACCCCAAACTTGAAGTAAAACTTCACAGCTAAAAAATTATGCACATTTTTTTAGCGCATCTACACAAATTTTTGTATAGATATGATAATGTAGCAGCGCCACAACTATATCTACCTATTTTATTTATGTATGCTAATAATAGTAAAAATTGAAGATGTATAATGTTACCATTAGTATCAGAAAATAATAAGCATGCTAATAATGGTAAATAGAAGAGAACGCTACTTATGGCAGTAGCGCAGAATGAAAACAACAATATTTTCCCAGTTGCCTTTTCCCTTGTAGAAGGTGAGATTGCGGGTGGTTGGGGTATCTTTTTGCAGAACTAACGAAGGCATGTGGCTCCTCAACCCGATTTGTGTTTGATATCAGACAGACATGCATCGATTGAAAGTGCGGACAACAATCCCGATAACGGATGGCAGGATCCACCAAATTAAAGACATAAACCTTCAAAAAAAAGTTGATAATATTGCTCAAAATTTCACGAGGAAAATTAAAGACAGAAACCTTCGGAAAAAAAAAGTGATTAACATGGGTAAATATTTATCTATTAACATTATGCCTTAGTCAATAAAAGTTTATAACATTATAACTCTTTTTTTACATACAGGGTATGCTTTAAACCAACCAACATTTGAATATTATCGAAAAGATATTGTGTTAGCAAATGTCGATGCTTTAAAGTGGTTGGACAATATTCTAGTTTAAAAATGGACGCATGCATTTGACGAGGGTCGGCATTAGGGTCACATGACAACAAATCTCGTTGAGTCAATGAACTCAATCTTTAAAGGCACTCATAATTTTCCCATCATAACATTGGTAAGTGCAACCTACTATAGGATGGAGTCACTATTTGCGGAAAGAAGTTGTACAATGTAGTGCAGTGTTGGAATCTGGCCAAACATTTACAGAAAATTGCATGAAGGTGATGAGAAAAGAAACAACAAAATCCAGCACGCATCACGTAACCTCTTTTGATTACCAACGTCACACTTTCAATATGGAGGAGACGATGGACCACGGTGAGTGGAAGCCTATGCGACGTTACAAAGTCGACTTGTTAAATGGCTGGTGTGACGTCGAAAAGCTTCAAAATTATCGCGTTCCTTATTCTCATGTTATCGCTACATGTTCTAGTGTACGCCAAGACATATATGCTCACTTGTCTAACGTTTACAAGATCGTAAACCTATTTGGGGTTTACAACGCAAGATTTCTAATGCTACCGTACGATGAATATTGACATGTTTATGAAGGAGATCGAATTTACCATTATCCAAGTATGCGATGGAACAACAAAGGTCGCCCAGTAAGCATACGTAGAAATAGGCACAACTGATAAGTTGGAGAGAAATGTGGGTTGTGTCGTTTTCCTAATCACAACCGAACTCGATGTCCCACTGTTGTAAGCAGTAATAATTGAGTTTTTTTGTTGAGCAATGTCGATTTCAGATTATCATCAACTATTAATTAAGTATTTATGTCGTCGCTAAATGAAGTGTTTTAATACAAAGATCTTTCACATTTAATAATAGATAACAATACAAATAATACTTAACAATGCATATTACCATATAAAAATACAACACAAACAACAAATAAAAACACTTCAAACCACAATATTTATAACAGATTACAACAATCAAAACAATATCATTACTTTCGAACATCATACCCCTAACATAATTGTCGTCTTTAACTCGCACCCACATGCGCTGGATGTCATTATTACCTTCTGCAATAGAGATGTACGAAACAAGTCGCTCAATACTTCTAATTGTTTCACCATCAATAATCTCTCGGTCTAACCAACGAATCAAATTCCTCTCTAATTGATCAAAATTTTGGATGTTCTAAAAAATGTATCATCGAAAGTTTGACCCTCGAATAAATAACATGACTTTAACAACGATTCTTTTTAGAACAAATGAACAACGTTAAAAATTAAAAGAAACTAAGAAGGGATGTGAAAAAATTAATCACATGACACGTCTATTTATACTAGATTCACCACATGTCTCTGTCAAAACAATTGACGAATTCATTATAGATAAATCAAAATAACCACTTATTGCACTTGTGTGAACCTATATTTAAATAATAAAAAACAAAAAACTAACCACCTATCTATTTCAACCTGTTTTTAAATAATAAAATATTATTATGTAAATATAAATAAATTTAAATTATTTATTATAATTAAATGCTAACTAATTAATATATATTTATTATTATTTTTAATTTTTATTTTTAAATATAGTATTTAATATATATTCATTTAATATATATTCATTTAATATATATTAAAAAAAATACTTTTCAAGGCGCCCATTCATTGGACAACGATTGTGTCTAATTTTTCATAGCTGCCGCCCATTCATTGGGCGGGTGTTCTAAGAGTCAATTTTTATGTGTTTAAAAAGATGATAGTCTGATATATAGTATTGAAATGAATGAAAAATTGGGTATACTTTTCCAATTTTGGTACTGTGGTAAAAAATTCTGATTGCGAACTCTTATGCTTAACAAGTTTTATTTTGTTCTAAAAACAAAGTCCTAAACAAGGAGAATGTAAAATACATGGCTTACACCACATCTAAGAAAAGTAACTAATTCTTTCTATTTTGCTACTAAACAAAAAGCATAAATGACTCCATAAATAAGTCTTTTTTTCCAACAAAAGTATTTACAAATAACTGTAATAACAGAACACCATCCACAAAATCCAAGAATTTAACAAGAAAAATAACAACTTTCCCATTCCCAAACTCACTTGTGCTTATGAAATCTAGATTCTCATACAAACACCATAGTTGAGATCCTCACCGCTGACCGAAAGCTCGGCGAGAGGATCCTTACTTCGGATTTGGAAACAAGAACACAGCTAAAAAAGTTGTTGGGATATGGTTTGGGGAGAATGTGTCCATGATAAGAGAAGAAAAATAAAACATCCAAAACTTCTGAGGAACACAGAAAGGAATAAAATTCATATTTCCAACCATACTCCACACCTGGACTTGGGATCAGAAGATCAGAAATCATACGATCATGACGACGAAACTCAACTTCTTTCTCCCTTTATACACATTCTTATTGATTAACATTGATAGGATCAGTTCGACCCTGCACGGCCATCCTCTCCGAGACATCAGCTAAAGAACTCAAGTTGCACCTGATCAACGCCTCTACAAAGTAACACGTTTCATCTCTCGTGTTTCCTTCAGGCACATCCACGACGAATGATTCAATCACCATTGTACCTGGTCTTCCATCAATAACCTCCGGATGGACAGTGATTACAGAAGAATAGTTCTGCGAATTCGACAAAAACACAATTCACTATCATTTCACCTTACATCTGATAATAAAACAAGCAAACATATTTCTCAGTATCAACATAACATCATAGGAAATGAAATTGCAACATTCACAAAATCACAATCAGATCAAACGGTTCACAAAATAAGCATAGGATGATTCATACATACCCTGAGCCTATGATCACCACCAACAATCCTGATACCAAGAATATGTTCTTCATCATCAAGCTGTTCCAACCTCTCAGTACTAGTTGTAGCTGGAAGACCAGATTTAACATTCACTTCTCTAACACTTCCAATGCCAAGATCACCTTGCATAATACACCTGCTAACAAATGGTTTATATTTCTGTGGCTGATCAAATCTTCTAACCAGAGACCAAACCTGAAAAACAAAAACATACAAAACATTACACTAATTAGACCAATCAAAAACCTATTTTCAGACAAAATTACAACATAACATCACATCACATCACAAATCTCAATTACTAAAATTTAACAAATCCAAATCCAGCCTTAAACTTTTTCTGATTTTTTTCTCTATCCAAAATGAAAACAACCCTTTTCCAAAAAATGATATCACAAAACAAACATAAACCAATCAAAAATTGCATCTCATGAGCATAAAAATTGAATTTTTACAACACCCTCATAAAACTCAAATCTAGAATAACAATCCAAAAACAAGTAAAAGTCAAGATCTTCAAAGAAATGAAAAAAAAAGTTTCTTTTTTTATTCAACCAAATCAACAAGAGCCTTAAAAAAGAGAGACCCAATTGAGAAAAAAGCAAAAAGAATTAAATTGTTGAAAGAAAAAGAAAAAAAAAAAACTAACAAGATGAACAGGGGCTTTGATGTGTTTAACAAGTGCAGAGGAACACTGATTGTCTCTTAAATCATGTTTGTGATGTCTTCTTATGTACTGTGTCTCAATAGCAGAGTATTGTTCACCACCGTTGTTCATCTTGTTGGATGATTATTGTTTTGGTGGATAGAAGAAAAGAAGAAGAAATAACAAGTGGTGGAGAAGGATAAGCTTGAGAGAGAGAGAGAGAGAGAGAGAGAGAGAGAGAGAGTAGTTGGTGTAAAAAAGTGTCAACCTTACTTGGCTTAGCTTGGCAGTTCATCAAAATTTCATGTATCCACCGACAATCATTTATTTTATTTCTTACTTTTTCTTATAAAAAACAAATTTAATTATATTATATATCTTTTTTTAATATAAAATAGCGATTTATAAATATCAACATTAATTATTTTAAAAAAGTATTATTTTTTCTCATTTAGTTATTATTATTTTTAATCTGGCTGAAAAATCAATGGAGAAGGAAGGGAGTATATAGTTAAGTGTGCCACATTATATTGGTTAACACATACACCAATGTCAACATCAAAAATGAGCATATTATGGGTGGTGGTGGTAACTTTATTTTTATCTATTTCATGCTAGGGTTTCTCTTTCTCTTTTGCCCAATATTCTTGTTGCCTCTTAGAATTTGGAAAGAGACAAAAGGATCTTCATAATGTAGTTTGTATATTGAAAATTTGAACAGGTATAGTATTTAATTGAGTTTATAAGATTTCAAAAAAAAAATTAAGATAATAGGTTAGAAGTTCTTTAATCTTAAAATAAATAAAATTAGAGACGCATTTAAGAATATCACAAATTTCAAATCTGATTTTGACGTATAACTAATTCTTGCAATTGGCGGTGTCCACTGTATATCCACTTGTGATGCAACAAATATTAAAATAATTACTTTAAAATCCATAGTTTATTTTTCGTGAAAGTTCTGGAACCCAGAAAAAGTTATCTTATTTTTCATAAAGTTCAAAGAATTTATATTCTATGGTTGTCATCCATTAAAGCTCAATATTGTATTTGGTAAAAGACCATGTTTTATTTTAGATTTATGTTTTATTTCTTAAAGTGTGTAATGCTGTTTAGAAATTACTATAATATTATAATTATCGATTATATTTTATTTTTGTATATATGCTGGTCAAAATAAAAGTGTGTGAGTGTTTTGATTATATTTTATTTTTGTATATATGCTTGTCAAAATAAAAGTGTGTGAGTGTTTTGAAAGTATATCCGCAGCATCTTTATTCACAAAAGTTTTGTGGATGAGATGTGACCCCATGCTTGCATCAATACTGGCCTTTCAATGTTCAACTAAAAAGACAAAGTTGCATGTATCAATCTTTATATATATATATATATATATATATATATATATATATATATATATATATATATATATAAAAGAGATATCAAAAAAAAATTAATAATAATAATTGATATATTTAATAAACTAACAAAATATTATATACATTTAATTAAATTATTTTAAAATATCATTTTAAAAATAAAAGTGTGATGTGGCGAGATACACGTCTCTCATTGATTAACATTGTAAATATTTTTAAACTATCCGTGTATGTTTTTTTTTCTCTGATAAATATAACTAGTTGTAATTATAAATAATATCAATAGTAATAGTTAATATTTATAATTTTTTTAACAATAATATTTTAATCATATCAGTATGATAAATAATAATATGTAAGAGCATGATCAATCGTGAATTCATTTTTGGGTTCTTTTCGAGACCTATTAAGCCACGTCAGCTTGAAGCAACTCAACTAATGTTTCACTCCAATGGTGCAACTCTGAAGAATTTATATTAGGTTCCACAACTTTACTTTATATATTAATATTTTATTCACATTAAATTTTATATCACTTAAAATAATAATTTTAATTTTTTACAGAAAATTATTTCAGTCTACTATATAGCCCGACAGGTATATAATGTTGTTTTAAGGAAAAATATTTCATTCTACTATATAAATTTAAAATTTAAAATAATAATTAAAATTAATCTCAAGTACATGACATATAATTAAAAACAATAAAAATAAATAACATCACATAATTAATCAAACTTAAATTTTATCATCTTCATGTCCAAAACGTTCCTAAATATATTCGACTAGATCTCCTTGAAGTTTACGATGAACTTGTTTTTCTTGAATATTTGCTCTTCTTTGTAATCGTGTTGCAAGATTCAGATGAGGACCGCTAAATGTTTCAGTTGTTGAGTTATTGATATCCACATTATCATAAGAGTAATCAAAATTACCTCCATATGTATGTCGTTCGTCTTCCACAATCATGTTGTGCAATATGATGCAGGCATATATGGTATGCTTGAGAGTGTCCATGTGTCAGGCACGCGCTGGGCCACGTATAATTGCAAATCGAGATTGAACCACTCCAAATGTTCACTCCACATCTTTTCTAGCCGATTCTTGATGTTGAGCAAATAATTTTTTCTTTTCTCCCTGTGGCATTGAAATAGTCTTGACAAATGTAGCCCACTCAGGATATATATCATCTACTAAATAATACCCCATATTATATGGTGTCCCATTGATTATATATTGCACATTGGGAGCACATCCTAACAAAATATCGTTAAACACGTTGGATTGGTTTAGCACATTAATGTCATTGTTTGAACCTACAATACCAAAAAAAGCATGCCAAATCCATAAGTCTTGTGATGCCACTGCTTCAAGCATGATTGTGGGCTTACCATGATCACCTCGACAAAATTGTCCTTTCCATGCAACAGGTCAATTTTCCATACCCAATGCATACAATCGATGGAACCCAACATATCTGGAAAGCCACGTGACTCTCCCATTTGTAAGAGATGTTCAACATCAGTGTTGTTAGGCTTTCTCAAATACTCAGTGCCAAATACAACATTGACACCCTTAACAAATCTTTCTAAGCACTCAATTGAAGTGCTTTCACCGATTCGAACATACTCGTCTACAAGGTCAGCAGGAGACCCATACGCCAGCATACGAATAGTAGATGTACATTTCTGCAATGGTGAAAGACCCATTTTACTTGTTGCATCGACCCTCATTTGGAAATATTCATCATGATTTCCAAGGGCATCTACAATTTGAAGAAATACATGCCTATGCATTCTGAACCTTCTTCGGAATCGAACATCTGTGTATATTGGGTTTTCCAAGAAGTAGTCATTGAATAATCGATTGTGCCCTTCTTCACGACCTCGATCTACCGTTGTTCTTCTCTTTGGCCTAGAGGAACTTTCAGATCGACGTTCATTTTGAAGTTGTTGTTCTTCATCACTGTCGTCCATAAATTCTTCTTCAACCAACTCCCAAAATTCTTGATCGTAATTATTTGAATTGTCTGAATCCATTTAGTGAGTAAAGAATGAGAGAAAAATGAGAAGAATAAGATGAGAATGAGAGAACAATGACATAAGTGGTAGTATATATAATAGTTTGAATAACGACTAGTTTAAATAACAGCTAGTTTAAATTAAAGTGGTAGTTTGAATAACGGCTAGTTTAAATTAAAGTGGTACTAATGACCATTTTACATAGGTGTTGATAAATTAAAGTGGTACTAATGACCATTTTACATAGGTGTTGATAAATTAAAGTGGTACTACTGACCATTTTACATAAGTGATACTAACTACATTCCATATATTTTTTTCATCTTATTACAATATTTTTCATGAATATCTCGTTGACTATCGTTCATAGTAGAAGTGTCTTTCATCATCATTTGCATTACCCTTAATTCTAGCTCGTCCTCCTTAGCTTGCGCAAGTCTGTCCATTGTTATTGCTCTTTTATTCTTTGCATCTTGTGTTGCATTTGGAATTTCTGATGCCTTACCCTTCCTTTTTGTTGTTTTTTATCCCATTGGACGCTTCATTGGTGATGATGAGTTAAACTCATAACTTGAAGTTGTATCTAGGTTCTCCGATGATGCCCCACTAGCATAAGTCTTTGTTATTTTTGTAGAACTTTCAATCATTTCTTCGACGATGTGCCATTTAGCTTCATCTTTTAACAATCGCCATGCATACTCAAGATTGAATGTTGTACCTTGATCCTGAGCAAAAATAGCATATGCATCTGCCATGACATCGTTCTCGGATGTCCCACTTTTCTTTCCTTTAAGAGCAAATTTGTAACACCCAACAAATTTTTGAACCATGCCATTTATTCTATGCCATTGACATTTTAACTGTCCCCCTAACTTTTCCCGCAATTGCCCACGATATTGGTTATAACTAGCAGCAATTCTTAACCAAAAACTCTTAGCCTTTTGATCAACTCCCACAATTGGATCCTTTGAAACATTGAGCCTTGATTGGATAAGTAGTATATCCTCTTCCCTTGTAAATTGCTCTCAAGATCTTTTTTTAACGACAACTCTTTCTTCTTTTTCAGTACCAACTTGAGTAGAAAATGGTGGGACTTGAGTAGAAAATAGTGGAACTTGAGTAAAGAATTCCATACTATTAGAATTCATTTGAGGTATATGATACATATTTGGATTGTTTGGTGACAGAAGAAATATGGCGGGGTTTGTTGGCACCGGTGGAATTTGAGAATTTTGAGGATTAGGATTTTGATAATTTTGCATGTAATTGAAAAAAGCTTGTTGATAATGAAAATGATTAGGATCCATTTGGCCTAAACAATTGTAATTTGAAGTAAAAAGATGAAATTTTGAGTTAAATATTTTGTAAAAAAAAATGCTAATGAGAAAAAATTGTTGAAAAAAAATTAAAAGTATAGGAATAAAATGATGAAATTGTGAGAGAGAAATTTCAATTTAAAGAGAAAATAAAAGTGAGAGAAATTTGTGTTGGTAAATTTTTGAAAACCAAAATTATATTTATAATAAAAAATAAGTTTAAAAAATTAAAAAGAAAAGTAGTCGTTGAAACTTGAACGGCTAGTTTCTATTATATTTAATATATTTTAATACATTGTTTTATTATATTTAATATATTTTAATATTGTCGTACGTTGCATTGTGAAGCAACGGTGTTGCCACCTGAAGAACTCCAATGACAATGGATAAACAAAAGTGGATTACAGCTGGCGAAC